TCGCTGCCGGCACAAAACGAGACTCTATCCTCGCAAAAGTTCTCAGTTGGGTCGAACGCGGGTGGCCAGTCGAAGAAACCCCCGCCATTTTTGCGCCATTTAAGAACCGGCAAACGGAACTATTCTCCCAGAAGGGCTGCATCCTATGGGGAGATAGAGTCGTCGTGCCAGAGAGGCTACAGTGACTCGTGTTGCAAACCCTGCACGAAGGACATCTGGGCATCGTCTGCATGAAGGCCCTCGCTCGAAGCTACACGTGGTGGCCAGGCATCGATAAACAAATTGAAGCCTGGGTTACCACGTGTAAAAACTGCCAAGAAGTCAGCAACGCCCCACCGAGAGCAATTCCCACCGAATGGGAAACTCCTCGAGGCCCATGGTCCCGCATCCACATTGATTTCATGGGACCCACGAAAGGACACACTTTTCTCCTAACCGTGGATGCTTACTCCAACTGGCTCGAAATCCACAAGATGAAAAGCACAACTACTGACTCTGTTATTAAAAAAACTAGATAGATTATTTGCAACACACAGTTTCCCGGACGTTCTAGTTTCCGACAACGGACCCCAGTTTACTGCTCTCACCTTCGAACAATACTTGGCGGACCAGGGCATCCGCCATGCATTAACTTCGCCGGCTCACCCTGCGGCAAACGGTAGGGCAGAACGAATGGTTCAATTCCTTAAAAATGATCCAAAAAATGGATCAGGGGGACATCGACGCTAGATTGAACAAAATACTCTTACTACAACACATTACCCCCCACAGTGTCACCAATAAGACCCCAGCCGAACTTTTAATGGGGCGGAAGCTTCGCTCCCACCTCGACCGACTACACCCATCTTACTCGCCAGAGAAACCTTGTGGATCCAGCGGAACGTATCGCCAATTCAAGGTAGGCGACTTGGTCTACGCAAAAAACCTTTCCGGCAAACCGTTGTGGGTCCCAGCCACCGTAGTCTACCTCACTGGCCCTAGATCTTACCGCCTTAAGACGACAGACGGCAAGATATGGAAACGCCACATTGATCAACTCCGATCTCGCTTACAACCAAATATCTGCGACCCCTCTGACTTCCAAACTCAAGGGGGAGGGAATACCGAGGGGGACGAAGGCCGTATAGATGACGACGTAATCGAGGACAGACGGCCGCTAAACCAAGTACTCGCGCCACCTGAAGAAGGTCCGGGATCGGGGGCATCCTCCCCATGGAGGAACACCGTAGTAGAGGCGTGCCCGCCCGATCCAGGAATGGACTTAAGGGACCCTGATAGTGCCGAAAACAGCACCGCGGAATCAACCCCGGGCGAAGACGAGCCTTGCGTTCCACCGGAACTGAACTTTAAACAAAAACCGGTGGAACAGCAGAAATCAAATAGGCAGGTAAAACGACCTGCATACCTGCGTGATTACGTCACCACGGCTGTCAAACGGAACCCAAGGGGGAGGGGTGTTGTGAACTAAAGAAATATAATTAATAAAGATTCATTTGCCTAGCAGGATCGTAATCCTGCACGTCCTATTGGCCCATATAATGGCAAGTTACGATTGGTTCATTCCGAGCAATCAGACTGGCTGTTGGCGGGCCGCGCCAAGATTCAAACGCTATAACAATATCCATTGGTTATCTGCATAGCAGCTCACGCTATAAAAGAGTGACTGATAGCCGGGGTTCTTTTGTCTCTGTTAACATGTTGTGAATAAAGAGCTGAATTCACGAGAAGCAGTTTCGTCTCCGTTTATAAACCCATGCCTCATACATAACAGTTTCCATTGGGAAATCGCCCACCTTAATATTCCAGAGAAAATGCAGCAAACTGATCTTGATCCAACAGTTCATCAGCTCAGCTGCTCAATCAGCAGTGTTGAGGAGATACCTGATTTCAGCTACAGAGATTTTGTATCTTTGTATTTTAGCTCAATCCCCTTATATTTCTATTACAAAAGAAGGGAGGAGAAGCCTCGCTGAACTCAACCAAGTTCACATTTGCTGTGAGATCTGAATCAGGGACTTCTTGGTTAAACACCTTGTACTTTTGCTCTCCGTTACTACTTTAGATCTCAGTAAAACAGTAGCCAGTGATACGGTGCAGTGATTACACAGATTGTGACACCAATTTTGAGAGACAATTGTCAGCTGGGGAAAAATGCTGGATGACTAACATACTGCCAACAGCCAGAAAGTTTCTTTTGGGACTTGGGAATTTGATAATGATAAGGAAATACACACATGCTCATTCTTTGATTACAACTATTGGCTCCAAATTCTCCAAAGAAGCCTTCTTGTGCACAGATGCACTTCGTATGTGTTGTATTAGTTCCAACCACTCGTAGCCAATAATGACTAAGGATGGTGGCAGCTATAGTCAAAAACATTTACAATACTTCAAGCCTGGAAAAGCCATAGCAATTGATCTGAAACATTCACCATAAGGCCCATCCAACAGTCAGGAATCTGTTCCACTTTTGAAGATTAGCTTAGTAAAATGACAGAATCCCAAGATAAAACGGGGCACGTAGCCTTCATATTGCTTATTGTCCAGATGAAAAAGGAACATATGAGTGAACCTTGCCCTTAAAAGTTCTAAAGGAATGGCACATTCTTTTGAACTGGGTAAATGACAGATCAGAGAAGCAGGCTTTTCCCAAAATGAGGGACTCCAGATGCATTGCCTTTACTGGCTGAGAATTCTGGGATCCAAAATAACAACATTACAAAGCCTGACCTGATCTGTTGCTTTGCCAACTGGGATGTAGTTGCTAAGCCAGCCTTAAGTGCTTATAGAAAAATCATGGGGCCCTTTTCTTCTGCAGCAAGAATGGAATTGCTCCTGAGAAAGAAATAACAAAACCTCAGTGGTGCTGTTTCCAAATAGTTAATTTCATAGAACAGAGAGATTCTCTTCTTACTTGAAGTCTTTATGGAAAACACTCAGGGGAGTGCAACAGTCACGTAACTGAGCGAAACAGAGATATACTTCAACATTATTAGAATGGGATGGTGGGGTGGGAGAAACCATCTGCTCTTTTTCATATTGTGGCAACATCACACAAATTCCCTTCTTGCTGTTCTAACAAAAAGTAACTACATTGGCAATCAGCAAAATTATTGAGGCCTTTCCCTTTCCATTGTATAAGCAGTGGTAGGAAATCCACTGCTTATAACAGCCATTACATAGAACTGCATGCTTCCATGCATGTTGAATAAAACATACTCATCAGGAAAAGAGTATTGTGTAAATCTAAAAATAGATTAATTTACTAATCAAATAAGTCTACATGAACCCAGCTTTTAAGGCATTCAATGTGGAGCGATTGTCACTTTTCTTCTTCTACTTTGAATGGGGAAGCAGTATTTTTTTTATTTATTCTATTGTTTTTTACCCCATCTTGCCCATAGAGCTTGCAAGTTAGATCAGTTCAGGATATCAATTTCATAACAAAATACAAAACAATAAAATAACCACAATGATTCACTAAAGCAAGATAAAAGGAAAAGTAATGGAAAACTACTCTTCCCCCAATGCAACATGGCAGGTATATCCCTGCTAACCATCTTGCTCCAACTGCCCTAAAACCTCTTGCAAGGGCACTGAGTCACTTGGGCAGCTCAGCTGCTTATGAGCGGGGGCGGGGAGAGGAAAGACCTCAGGGGCCAGATATCCTCTCATAAGGAAAATTGTCTTCCACAAGTTCCACAATCCTCCAGGGTCTGCAAACTGCTAAACTGTGCAACAGTTCATGTGTAAGTGTCCGTCTCTTGTGATGATGCCTTTGATAAGTGCCAAGAACAATTTACAGATCCAAAATTAAAACATCTACAGGTTTTTTCTTCATGATTTTTTTTGGGGGTGGGGGGGGGGGGGGGGGGAGAGAGACAGCAAAACCTGTGAGGAAAATCAGGAGGTTTGTAAAGAGAAGGGACCCTTCAAGTACAATTTGCATTTAAGGGCAAATACCTTTCTCCTTCACATCTTTCCCACTCATAATGTTACATCACGGAACTGAAGAAATAAGGCATAGGATTCCCCCCAGCACCCACACAGCAGCAGTTGTGTGTGAAAATATATAAGAGTAGGAAGAGAGGAGTAGGAGGTCTTATTTTTAAAAGCAACAAGTTTGTGTTTCAGGGAGAGGATAGGAACGGAAACCTGCCCACCCATCTACAGCTTCTATCTCTTCTGTTTCTCATTCCAGGTTCCCTTTTCTCTTCTGGCATTTCAATTCCAGAAATGACCTAGCAGGAAGTAAAGTTGAGAGTCTGCAGAACAACCTACAAAAGTTGACTGAATTTTGCTTCCTCCCCCCACCCCAATGTCTTAAATTCAGCCCCTTAATTCGTCTTCTCATGTGGCTCCTATGTGCTGGGTTTCAACATCCAGAGTTACTGTTCTCATGTATCACTTTGGCCTTAACTTCTGTCCTTCTGCATCGTATTTTCAATTCCAGCCATATTCACATCAACTGGATGAATTGGAACCTTTCCATCAGCCTATGCAGCTTTATGCCAGCTACACCAATGTCATGTTTCAGTGTTTCTCAACTTTGGCCACTTGAAGACATCTGGACTTCAACTCCCAGAACTTTTCAAGCAGCCAAGATTGAGAAACACTGCCATTATGTGCTATACTAGCACAAGGGAATGTAAAAGCAATCCAATGGACACATATTGAGTGTGAGTGAAGCTTTCTAAGTGAAGCTTTCACACCCTTCAGTGGTGCCACAACAAATACACAAGACATCTCAGCCATTTTTAACCAACAGAATTTTCATCAAATGCCTTTAACCTAGTCTGCTTTTCAGATGATAAAGAAGCACACACACTCACACTCACACACACACACACACACACAATTTCCAAGGCACAAGGCAAGAAGGTGACTTGCAATAATTGTAAGAGGCAGTAAAGCAGAATGAAATCCAGGAGATACGATCTGCTGGAGAGTCACCACTTTTCTGAGACACGAATTTTTCCATTAACACACAAGTTACATACCTCTCTCCACTGCTTGGTCTCTATGCCCTGAGTATACAGCACACACACTGTAAAGGAAAAAAAAAAAAACAAACCACAAGTTAACTAAGCCACTGGCACAGAGAAAAGAATTTAGCTCTAGTGCCACACAGCACAGATTGTATTAGGCAGACTTCACAAGCTTCTGCAAGATCAAAAGCTAAATGAAACTACTGAAGCTTGATCTCCCCCACTGAGAAGGTGGGTGAAGTGGGGGTGGGACTGGATTCCTGAAAATTGTAAAGCTATGGTTCATTATTTCTTTATCTTCTCCTTTTTCTTTTAAAATGTTGTTTATTGCTATGTACACAAAGATAGCATCTAAACTTTTTCCATTTTGCTATTAATGAAAAACATTTTCCTGCAAACTCAAAAAGGTAAGAATGGGGAGGATTTGAGGTCTAGGTTATAATGAAAAACTGAAAAGGAAACTAATTGCAACAAATGCTAGAACTTTTGATTTGATCAGGCCTTAGGTGCAAATCACATTTAAGAAGCACATTTTGAACTGTGTGACATCTTAAGCATCCATCATCGTGTTTTTTTTTTGTTTTTTTTTGTATTTGTGTTTGATCTTCACAATAATCTTATGGGATAAACTGACTGACAGAAAATGGCTAAGCAAGTATTTCAACTCAACTTCCCAACCATTCTGCCCCATCAGCTCAAAAGAGTGGATCCGTTTCTGTTACTTTTGCATCTCAGCTCCAATAATCTACATAACATCAATTTCATAAGTATGACTGATTGCTATTGTTCTCCCACATAATGGAATAGCACAAGAGTTATTTGCCTTAGCTTACATGAGGAAAAAGAGAGGCTGTTTTGGAATTAGAAGTTATATCACATTCAACTGGGAACTACAGCATGCCAAGCCTAGTTTTATACTAAAATTAGTGTCACTAGAATTCTTGTCAGAAGGAACACAAAACACTGTAGCTTAATTCCATCCAAATTCATTAGATTCACTGGATTTACCCTCTTGAATCAAACTAGACTTGGCAAGATGGGTAGCATAGCACTTTAATAAATAAACAAACATGGAAAATTCAATCCCCAATTCCTCCAAAAAAAAAAAAAAAACCTTCAGTAAATGATTTGGGATTCACTGTTTTCTCTCAGCTATATATTTTTCTGAAGACTTCTCAGCTTAACCTATTTTTTGTGTAGATAATACAAAGTAGGGGGGAAAGACTCATGTTTATCACATTGAGTTCCTAGAATAAAAATAGAACATAAATAAAAGGAATAATTAAACCAATAACCTTTGGGTTCTGGCCTTATTTTACTGTCCAAATCCATAAAGAGAAACCTCTGCTGTCCTTCCTGGGTTGGACCCTCCCTACAACACACACATTTTCCTTGCTTTCCCTTCTGTATAAGTAGCAATGAAGCAACTGCACTCTAAAGAAACACAGGAGAGGTTCTCATAAACTATCCTGTTTTCTTCCACTCAGAGGTGGATACTTCCTTCTATAAATCCAGGTCAAATCTCATGCTTTCATCAAAATGACAAAAGAGACAAGAGACCCAGTGTGGTCTAGTGGTTAAGCCATGAGCCTAGAAACAAGAAAAATGTGAGTTCTAGTCCCAATTAAAAACAACAGGGTGACTTTGGGCCACTCATCCTCTCTTAGCCCAATTCCCTTCATAGGGTGGCTGTTGTGGGGGGGAAATAGGAGGACAAAGAATATTAGGTATGTTTGTGCCTCGAGTTATTTAAACAAATAATAAAGGCAGGATAAAAAAAGAAACACTACAAGACTGTATATGACATTTAAAAAAAACACACAACTTGAATTGGGACACAGTGATGCCATTTTTCATCTTCTGATCTCCTTGTGGCTACCTCTGAAAAATCTACGCTACTAGGCACTATGCTAAATGCAGAATCAAAGAACTATAGCTCCTTCATGATTTAGCACAGAAAACCAAGCAAGACTTTTAAATTACCCAACAATGTATTTCACTAATGTACTTGGCTCACTTTCAATTGCTCCCCATTATTAAAGCATAGCAAAACATGTAAAAATGATTAATGAGATTTTAATGAAGAGAAGCTGCCAGAGAGCAAATGATGTCCCACTAAGCTTTTTGTTTCCTAGGTTCTGCTGATCATGTCTTTTATCTGCCGCAGGATCTATACACATTAGTTGTAACCTCAATGCTAATCAAAGGAACTAGAAATTCACAAGGTGAATCCGCAATAATGTGCTACAGTGCAACATGTTACTGTTCAGAAATCTAGACTGTCACGATATCTTCCACATCTTTTCCAAGCCACTCCACAATATCCTACTATGCTAATTACATTCTAAGACCACAAAGTTCGTCTAATCTTTATTGCAGAGGTGGGGAACTCTGGCCCCTTTATGACTTATGGACTTTAACTCCCAGAATTTCTGAACCAGCATGGCTGACTCAGGAATTCTGGGTGCTGAAGTCCACAAGTCATGAAAGGGCCATTGTTCCCCAGATTTGCTTTAGTGGGTTGTCTCCCTTCCAGTGGTGGGATTCAATTTTTTTTACTACTGGTTCTGTGGGTGTGGCTTGGTGGGCAAAGCAGATCTTGGTGGGTGTGGCTTGGTAGGCATGGCAGGGAAAGGATACTGTAAAATCTCCATTCCCTCCCCACTCCTGGGGGAAGGTTACTGCAAACTCCATTCCCTCTAACCTGCTTTCCAGCTCTGTTCTCCTGTGCAGGGCAACAAAAGAAGACCCAGCCGATCAGCTGGACTCGGGAGGCAGAGAATAGATGGGGGCGGGGCCAGTCAGAGGTGGTATTTGCCAGTTCTCTGAACTACTCAAAATTTCCACTACCGATTCTCCAGAACTGGTCAGAACCTGCTGAATACCACCTCTGCTCCCTTCCCACTATTAGGAGATATAATTTTAAAAATCTAACTTATTTTGGCATTTCTGCCAACTTTTCTCATACACCTAATATTATTTGTTGTCTTCCTGTTTATTCTGGCCCCCAAGGTAGTTTGGGGTGGGCTTCTCCAAAACCAGTTATTTCCCTCGTCATACATATAGATGGTGATGTTTTGCATATATAAGAATCAGTCTAGGAGAATCAGTTAAAATATATTTGCAATCAATGCACCATTATCTCCATTCTACTGGGAGAAAAGATTATAGAGAACTAAAATAAAATAAAATACACTGGACAGCACATATCAGAAATATAGGCAAAGTAATTGTTGAAGCCGAAGAAAGGAGGGTCAGAGATAATAAATTATTAATCAGGTTTTCAAAAGCATTAGAAGTACATACCAGAATGTTATATATACAGTATAATCTATGCTGGGTTTAATAATTGCTATGTAGGAATGAATATCTACCTTTCAGAGCTTTTTCTGTTTAATACAAAGGAGAAACTCACTCTGTCTCTGCTCATTTTATACATTCAAAGCAAGTCACCTGACTAGTGAAAACAGAAATCATCCACATACTTAATACATTTCTCTGTGTTTATTAACATGAATTTCTTGACCAACATGATTATGTTGTATAAATATGTGAGAGCATGAGGTCATTCGGATTATAAAGATGTAAGAATGAAAGTTTAAAGCCAATAAGACATTTTAAATTGGTAAATATTGTTTATTTTACACCAGGAATTATTTAAATTCTGTGATTAGCAAATCCCAGTAATTACAATTATGTATTATGCTTCCCAGATTTAAATTAATGATTCTTAAAATATTTAATTTGGCTTTTACTTTGCCTTAAGATTGTAATTTGCATATATTCGCAATATAGAACTTGACAGATCCATAAATTGGGGACTAGAAATTTCATGAACAAAGCCCAAATAGTATAATCAAAACTCATCTTGAAGAAAAGTGAAAGTTCATGCAACACTTACGTACATGGGTCAGACTTGGAGAATGTATCTTTATCCAAAAGATTCCTGGGGGGTGGGGGAGGAAAAAATAGAAAGGATTATTTAGGAGCTGAATAGATTAATTTTCAGTTGAAAACTGAAAAAACCCTCCCTAGCTGCTTTTTTCCCACCGATTCTCAACTATTTTTTTAAAATAATAATATTAACTGTTTGTTTTTCAAGCAATTATATATAACCTCTAATCTTTGAGCTCTGTTGGAATTGCCAAAGCAGCTATCAGAAGTAACCTAGATAATTAGAGCTGCAGAATCAGACCATATAAATAAATACACCAAAGACAAAGGAGAATGGGTTTCTCAGACAAAGTCTCATTCAAACAAGGTGTCTTTTTGCTTACAATGAGTCAGTAGCCATGCTGACTCAGCAGGCAAGTCTACAGGCTAAGAATATTTGATTGCCCAAGGAAATACTCCAAACCAGGGATGTCAAACTCATGGCCCGCGGGCCGGATGCATCATGTGCTGGCCCCACCCCTGCCCAGTTTAGCAAAAGGGAAAGAAGTCCCGATACATCATGTGACAACACTGTGAGGCCATGAATTTGACACCCCTGATCCAAATCATAGTTACCATGCTTGGTATACAGAAGAACTGTATTTGTAACAGAATGGCTATTTCTAGCTTATATGCTTCCTAACATTAGCCAAGCATTTTCTCATTCACTATTGCTTATGAACATGTTTTCTCTCTTCAGAAAAAAAACACTTCCTTGCAATCTATTCAGTGCTTCATATTATCTCCCAGGGCCAGTTTAATCAACTTCCCTTAATTGGCACTTTTCAGATAAGTTGGAATACAGCTCTAATAATTTCAATTAGTATTGCCTTTGTCCGTTATGGCTAGGGAAGAAGAAAGTTGAAATCTAACACATCTGCAGAACACCAATTCAAACTATGGCCAAAGTATAGGTATCAATACTAAAGCACATGCAAATGAACCCAACTAGAGGAAATATCATTAACGTAATATTAAAGTAGTTGCTTTGCAAAATGAGCCAGCACTGAAAGCACATTAGTTAAGATGTTTGATTTCCTTTCTGCGTTAGCTATAATTCTCTAAAAGAAATTGTCAAGGAATTATTCCAAACTTCACTATAATTTAGAAACTATTAATTCATCCTTAATGGAAATTCACATGTCTCAATCTTCAAAATGTTTACTCCTGACCTTCTAGAACCCACACAAAATTTTAATCATCCTGAACCAATATGCTTAGTAATCATTCGAGAATAGTTTAAGCAACAGCTTCATATAGTGTTGCCTTGAATCATTCTGTAAGTAGTAGAGAAAAAAGAATTATCTAGCCAGGTAAGAAATTATGTTGCTTTGGCACTTTGCACCAGTGTTACTACTGCCCAATTCACACTGTCCTTTTCACAGCAGATTCACAAAATTTTGATGGCTAAAAATGGACTATATATTTTCACAAGTTATATCTTGATAACTGATGATGTAAAAAATGTTAAAGTTGTTTCTTTCTTTAAAACTTAGGGGGCATTTTTATTCTCTGCCAGGTGGTGTAATCTTTCTTAAAGTTGTCATAAATCTCACAATCCTAAAATTTTGTCTCAGGAAACTTTCTAATAATTTTATTTCCTTCAAGAATGTGCCTGTTATAAAAATTCTAATAACAAGTATGGTAACTTTTCTAAGAGCTGCCAGGCACTTTGCAGTGCTGAATATAGTCTGAAAACATCAAGACATAATAGTGTCTTATTGTAATGTTTTCAGGCTATATTCAGCAGTGTAAGTGCTGGACAGCTCTTAAAGTTACAGTACTCATTACTGGGATTTATATTTGAAAATAGGCAAATTCTTGAAGGAAGTAAAGATCATAAAAGTGCATAGGATTCTTTGCTGATGTGGTTAAATTTTAGATTCTGCACTAATGGCATATTGTGCCATCAATGAATAGCAGAAATAATGAAGGATTAGAAAGAGCTTAATAGCATTCCAGTTTCAGAGCTAGGCCTTTCAATAGCTTATCTTTTAAGCACACAAGAACACCAATTAAATGTAAGACGATACACATACTGAATGCAGAGGGAGTTTGTTTCAACTCCTTGGCACACTTCTTTCTAGAAGAAATCTTTCACTACTTTAAAGACAAAAAAAAAACAACCCTTCAGGGATCACAGCAGGTCAGGCATTTGGGCAAGGGAGGAGGCAGCTCTGAGTCAAAAGAACTGGGTAGATCAGTAACCAGGGCAATCAAATAAGACTTATCCGTTTCCTATGTGATTCCCACTAGGGGAGTCTTCCTCAGTGTGGTATTCTCAAAGAGTTTTGGGAATACAGTTCCCAGGATTTATAGCCAGCATGGCTGAAATCCTGGGAGTTGTAATTTCAACTCTTCTAGAAGACACTGTGGTGATGAAATCTAAAGCAAGGCGGGAATGCAGAAGGCAGTAGAAGATGCATCAGTCATATTGGGGAGATTAATATTCAGGTACAAGAAAGTGAGTCACTCATTATTATTCATTCTTAAGACTCAAATATTTAGCATCCAGAGAATAATTATTTATCCTCTTCTTCTAGGATGTGATACCCAGCTATTAACCAAGAAAACCTTCCTCCTCTTTTTAATTTTTTTAAAATAAAATCATAATCAAGGGAGGGGGGAAGGCCCCTTGGGATTCTGGAGAAGCTGACTCTCCAGGAGTGCAAATAGAAGAGAGCAGACTAGAAAGGTTAGGCTTGCATATCTCTATGCGTGTATGCATGGTGCGTGTGTGTATGTGAAGAGCTATGAAGGATGTCCCAGAACTTATCGTAGAGAATAGATCTCATCTTTGAGCTTTCATGCTTAAGCTACACATTTGATCTGCAAGCAAAGAATATAGACAGTATAAAGAAGGAGCATGATTTCTAAGTAATGCCCCAGATACTCTTTTCCACATGACCCCTGGCATTCTCTGGAGTGATTGAAGATAGGGGACCTTGTGGGTCAGACACTTAAAACAGCTCTGCTTTTCCCCCTGGAGAATCCCAGGACTTTCAATTATAATTCGCTTTCATTGAACAGGATGCCCTATCCCATACTGATAAGCTGCACTCACTGCTTGGGTATTATGAACTGAAACAGGAAAATGTGTATAGGCGGCTGCTATGTATTACTCGAATGACCCACAAATCAAGAGAAAGGCACAAATCAAGAGGGGAAAAAATAAATAAGCCATGCTGCTTCCCTTCTGCATTAATATGGCTACTTTACAAGCAGATTTTTAAATACCAGAAAGTGTGGGGCAAAGAACGGCACTGGAAAAAGAAATCCAAATAAATACAAAGGATGAAAATTTAGACATATAATAATTTCATTATTAGGAGATCCATTTGTTCTACTGTTATTAATGTTGGCTTAATAATCTCATCACTGCCAGCCCTACTACTGAACAGAATGAGGCACTGCATTTGTCAGACTTAACACTCAGGCTTGGCAGGAAACCACAGATTTCTAGACCCTTAGCTCAGTTCTTGGCTAGAGTTGACAGAAGCCTTCAAGACACAACACAACTAGTTTAGAATTTTTATTGCAGAGAAGAAGAAGAAGAAGAAGAAGAAGAAGAAGAAGAAGAAGAAGAAG